TTCACTTTAGGACCATGGGCCGATGTGTACTTGATTTAAGATTAGTCGAGAACACGCATCCATGCGCTGCGCTGAGTCATTGACACAGTTTGCGCCTGCCACCAACAACATCGCCCCACAGAATGCAATTGAGCGAGCTTTTGCAAGCTGCATTGCAACTCGGCAAAAGAATTATCCATAGCCTTCGCTGCAGGTCTCAGGCTTCTTCGCAGCCGAAATAACATTTGACATGCGAGAGCCCGTGTGCCGGTCTTTGTCTGACTCATTCCTTGGTACCAGGTAATTTATGCCTTTGTGGCATTTTCCTCCTTCGTCAGCGCGGTCACGAATGCGGCGAATGAGCTCCGTGCTTTCACGACACTTTCCTTGGGAATCAGCACTTTTTTACTTTGCGATTTAGTTTCTGATCTCTTCACGATCTTTCACTGTCCTCCTAATTTCGCACGTGTCTTGCAAGAGCCAGTGTGCAGCCTGCGGTGGCCACATGGTAGGAGATATCCAGCTATATGCAATTGGGGGAATGAGTGGCCTTCTTCTGTCAGAGCCATCTCACAAATCTGGTCTATGGTTTTTGTAATTAATTGTAATCAAGGTAATGTCTTGGTAAAGCTTTGCCTTGTGCAGGATGAGGAGTGCGCAGCAGGAGGCACAGATCCGTCGGTTCCTGGGAGATCAGCAACTGGGCAGCCTTGGGGTTCGGCCCAGAGGTTGGCAGTGACTGGAGTCGTTTGGGTTCCTATTGCCAGTGAGGGAAGGAAGGCTCGCACCCGAAGAGTTCCGGCACCCAAGGAAAGTGTCTTCGGACCTTTGGTGCCGCATCCGGAAGTTCTGCCAAGAAGCGAACTCCAGGTCGCGGATGGTGACCGAACAGGCTCCCGGGTTGCATCGCCTTCTCTTCAGATGCTAGTGACTTTTTGCTCAGCTTATGCCAGAGGACATCGCAGTTTTCAATGAGATCCCCGAAAGCCTTCGGATCATTCTGCACGAAGAGCTGTACCGGGACTTCTTCAGAGACGCCCATATCTTCAGTGGTTTCGACGTGCCCCGGATGGCTTTGCTGTTTGCTTCGCTTGCCATCGAGCCGACTGGCTCTACTCAGGAGTTGGAGGAAAGCCCGCAGATCGTGAAGCGAGTTTGCCACTTCTGCTTCCAAGAGACAGTGCCGTGGCCGCATGATGCCAGCCGCTAGCCTAACCGGGACCGAGTCGGGCTAAGAAGGGGCTATGCATGGAAGCCAGGCTGAAGCGCTGAAGTGGGTCTGCCATATGGCATGCCAAGCTCGACGTCTTCGTAGATGGTACGGAAGCAGAACATGTTTTCGTGTCCCGCAGCTCGCTGGCATTTCGCCTTTCTCATTCTCAAGCAGCAGTTTTTTGTGTAATCGTGGATGCTCCGAGCTCACAGTACTACGGACAAGGCAGCGGGTCTGCCACGTACTGGAGTGTCTTGCTTGACAACAGCCCCTCGGGATGCACTGGCCGATTGAAGCCTAGAATGCCTAGATTCCTGGGTCCTTTCCTATGGGAACATGATGGCGCTTTCAAGTTTCCTTCTCTTGCCTTAGTCATCTGCTTCGTTTGTGCAGATGTTCAGCTCGCAAATTTGAAGTAGCTATAGTCAGGAGGTGCCTGCAGCACTCCATCCTAATTTCAGTTTGAACGCGCCCCGCCCCTGCCAAGCTTAAGAGCTGAGATCACAAGCCGTTGTCGGGAGAGGGCCACTGGCTGCACCTTGGAAGCATATAGCCTCACCTTATCTCGGTTTGCTATGGGCCACGGGGATGCTCCAGCAGTGCAAGTCGCCTAGGTCCTAGGTGCAGGTTCAGCCAGGGGCGGGTGTGCTGCTGCTGCTGCTGCTGCTGCTGCTGCTTCTTTTTGCCATGCAGGCCCTGCATGCTTGGGGTCTTGAGGTGTGAGCTAGCTCTTTGGGCCAGATGGAGTCACCGCGGTCAGCTGGTGGCGGACACCACAATTCGCATCTTGACAGTGTTGCAATTTGGAGTAGTGAGAATGGTTGGAAACTGTTGGAAAGCAACGCCTCCAAAATGTTGGCGAGGCAGGTGTGTAAGTCGAACACGGTTGCTCATAGTTGGCGGTGCGGGGTGGTCAACTTTCAAAGCGGAAGCCTTGGGCAGTTGTGCAACTAGACCCATGGCTCTTCTTTGCATGGAGGCTTTTTGATCTTGAATCCGCAGAGTTTCGCGACGGTGGCAGCAAGTGAAGGAGGCCAAATCGCCTGTGCGGCATCCCCTTTTACGCCGGCCGGTATAGCTCTACGGACTAGATCTGCACACGGATAGATGTTCCCAAGAAGGCACCTTTTTCTGGAGTTGTGGGCGTTTTGACAAGGGGTCTGAAGCAGAAAAGCTTTGAAATCTGCATGCTGAACCAATGGTGGGCAAGGACCTATCAAGGGGGAGTTGAATCAAAATACAGCTGACAGGAAGTTTCTTCGCCTATCTACGCACACTTGGCCTGCTCCTCATTGGGTATGCGGAGGTTGTTGAGGACCAGCCACTCAGCCACTGTCGATTAATTTCCACCATCCAGATTCGGAGGGTTTAGGGTGGGAATATATAGGAAAGATATATGGATAATGGAAAAGAAAATGGAAACTACTAGGTCCGCGGCGGATTCCCGCCCGTAAGGGAATTTGAGGGAAAATGCCAGAATTACTGGCCTGCGTGGTATTTCGTGTACTTGCAAACATGTGAAGTTGAAGCAGGTACGAACAAACAGTAGTAGTTTGCGAGGGCCGTTTT